GGCGATTACTAGTTACCTGCGTCCTACCTGCCATTCGCAAAGGACGCCGGGAACCAGCGAAGGTAAAATGTGAGCTCAGAACAAGTGGTGGACTTTGATTTTGTCTTGGTTTTGACTGTACTGTGCGCAGCGTACCTACATTCCCATAAAGATTGAATTAAATTCTACATAACCAAGGCTTAGTCTTTTTCACGAAACGAAACCCTAACCCGCATTTTTTTTTCATTGGCCTAATAATATCTGAGAAGATTTCACACTGTGAAACACGAAATGAATAGCGCCATCAGTGGTCAACAATTCCAAAATGGCTGTCACGTCATGTCAGCACAAATGAATCGAGTCGCAAAGGAAGCGGAAAAGAGGTGGAAATATTATCGACAAATTTATTTCTGTGACGTAGTGATGTTTGAAGTCGTTCAAAATTTAAGGTTAGGGTTAGGGTTAGGGTTTCGTTTTGTGGAAAAGACTAAGTCCATGACAAAAACTTAAATAATTGGGTTAAAACCCGCGGATTAAAAGATGAAAATAATGTGTCTGAAAGAATTGGAAATGATAGATATAATTGTAAATATTCGCTAGATCCACGAAAAACAATGATTGTGTTCTTCACAAACGACACGTTGTACTGGCCATTGGGTAGTAGTTGGAATAGTTTTTCTGACAGCTGAGATAACCAACACAAATATGATTTCTTCTGTGTCTTGTGTTTGAAATTGCAATATATGGCTAAAAATGAAGCAATGAGCAATGACGAAGGGAAACGTAACGTAAGAATTATTTTTTTTATGACTTGTTCTGATACTGAATGGTTCTCATTCAAATGCGAGAGGGTGGTCACCTGCGCACGCCCGGAAATTTAGTCCCAAGCGACAATAACAACATACTACGCTAACAACGCAAAGGCTCATGGGTAGACGCTTGTTTGTAAACAGTGACAAGCTATGGCCATCTGACGCATGCGCAGGAGACGAATCCCCCGCTTTAATTTAGATAGGGACTAAATGATCTTTGAATACATCTTGGAGGAGGGTGTTGGAAGTAAACGTATCGTGTTTTCCCAATGATATATGCGTATATATTTGTAACAGCTAATGCGTTCCACCTCTCGGAAAAAAATGCTCCCGTCTTCTAAATACCCCCTGGTAATTTCCGCTCATTCCACTATACTCGTGTAGTTACAGAAGTGTACATTGTAAGTACCGCCGCCAAGTATAGTATGAATTTCTGAAACAGTATTCCGCCACATTTAAGTAGTTGTACAAAGTACGGCACCCTTATGCATGCAGTTGAATGTAGTGCATAGCAACGTGGAAACGCGAATAACCTTTGGTCCGACTACCGCTACAAAGTTCATTTTGATACGGTTTTCTGTCTTCCTGAAAGGCGTTGAGCTGCTGAAACCTTCCACGATGTCGGAAATTACTCTGTATCATACGCCTAGGTCTTATTATTCTCGAAGGGTAACATTTTTTTTTTCAATTTCATATAATTGCTCCGATTATGAGAAGCGCACGCACCAGCTTTTGTTTCGATAGTAACCTCGTAATTTATAACGTTTGTTGTTTGACTCTGAGAAAACTCTACAAAGAACACACGAGTTTACAACTATCTATGGAGTTATTAGATACTTGGTAGATACAGAGAAAGCATGTACAATTCTTACACAATAGAAAAGAACCATCCATATTTGATAGTCTATCTAAGAAGAAAGTGATACAAATTCACAGCAAATTAAACCCAAATCTAAGTGAAAGAATAACTGTAATCCTTTTATTTGACAACGGCTGGTGACCCAAATTTAACAGATAATTATCAGTTGAATAATTGGTCGTATCGAGGGGAGCATAGTTCAAAACACATTCGCTCCCTTTCATCAAATTACTAAGATCGTGAGGTAAAGAGTTACTAGTAAATTGTATGCGCTCTCTTCGGGACACATAGTTATTCGGATGGGCATATAAACTTACATTAGAGGCTGGAGCGTTAGGTTTACTGTTCAGGTTTAGGGGTGGGCCTTAGGGAGCTCCTTTTGTGCGTTTTATTTTACTTTATGTGTCAGGCATGTAACATATATACATGTAAATACAAATGATATAGACTTTATCACACATTCAGTGTTCGAGTTTCGTGTAAACAAAAAATTAACACGCGTTGTATACGACCCTTGCACGCAGGCGCGTCGGAAATGTTTAGGAATATATTCTTACATAAATGTGTAAACTTTTATAGTAGTGTGTTCTATACTATGGTGTCGTCAAGTAATACGTTAAACTGTTAAATATTTTTTACTCAACGATTAAGGACCACAATTCAAGTTAAAATGATTGTTTAAATATTTAGTATGGTTGTGTAGAATACGCTATTCTTAATTTTTAAATCATAGGTTTTTTAAAGAAAATCTTAATTACTATTTTTCTTTCCTAATCCCGATACTTTTCGTCTCATGACAGGTCAGAATGGGACTTGCCCTGAAGAATCTTCAATACAAAGAACATCGACTTTCAAATTTGCTTTCGGAAAACGTGGAGCCATGGTACATGCGACTTAATCCCAAGGGAGAGGTACCAACGTTATTGCATGGATCGACGATTGTATGCGACTCGGGGAAAATACTGCGCCATCTTGATGAAACCTTCACGGATAGTATGTAGCGAATCAATGTATTCCTGCTGCATAATTATGTCTTAACAGTGTATCTGTGGATAAATTGGTAGCTTTTCGATGACAATTTTTTTTTTTTTTTTTATAAATAAGTGGTTCACGTAGACAATTGTACGCAGTTACATACGAATATATAATAGCCTGGCCGTTTTGTGTACGCTAATTGCAGGGATGCGTATTGCGCTTTGATTGGGGTAACTAGCGACATTTTTAAAGACATTATTGACAAAAAGCTAAATACCAGCCCTGGAACTGAAAGAAAGCGACGGCGAGTTGACTGAGATCACTGGCGACCCGGGTTTATCGTTATCGAATTCAGAAATGTCGCTGGCTACGATACCGTTACCCCCAAAATGTTTAGCGGTAACTCAACAAATAACGAGATTGTTAGATTTATGCTGTAATCAAAAGATGGATTGTTATATTCATAGAACTGATGACAGTATGGGCATCAATAACGACAAGAGTTTGCTTCGATATCGACAATAGGGACGTGTCTTAATTGGTCATCGAGTGTCGGTCGCGACGCGTAATTTTGTCGATAACGAGACGATAGCTTCATATGCGATGTTTTGTCGTACACTATCTACACGCCGCAATGTTTAACTTAATTACGTGCGCACTGAAAGCGGAGATGCTGAATTGTCCGAGTTACGAACAACGAGTTACGAACAACGAGTTACGAACATCGAGTTACAAAAACATTAACGGTGTATGTTGCCCGTAACTCGAGGTTCGATTAACTGTTAATTAAAGTTCGAGTTACTAAATTTGACCGTTAAACAAAATAAAAAAATCTATGATGCCCACTTAACTCGAAGTTCGGTTAACTGTCATTTAAAGTTCCAGTTACTAAATGTGGACGTTAAACAACAATAACAATTTATGTTGCCCGTAACTGGAAATTGAACATCGAGATACAATTAGGGCGTGGTTTTGCAAAAGTGGGCGTGGTTTCTAAAATATGGGCGTGATCATTTTTGTAACTCGATGTTTTCGTAGCATGGTGTCTGTAACTCGAATAATTCAGCATCTCCCAATAGAGATGCGTTGTTTGTTGTGTATGCGTCGATGGTGTCAACTATGTTGGACGCATGGCACACTATTTCTTATGAAGCGTGTGAAAGTAGAAAGAGCTGCTAGCGAAATAAGAAATTGTAGTAAGTAATTGCTCGCTTCTACAAACTCCCAGCTTATATGCAACGTAAATACAATTGTATTATGGTTTCACTGAATAAATTCATGCTAAAAGTATTAGTTTTGACGCAAAGTTTGTTTGTTTTTCTGTCAGCAGCAGTGCAACTATGTCCCAACGAATCAACCGACGAATGGCGAAGATGCAAATACTTCTTACAATGCAATGACAAGTTCGATCCACGAATTTACACACTTGCAGCAGTCGTGTTGCCGGAAATAACTCAGGTTAAACCAAAAAATGTCAATTTCACCGAAGATAAAATAAAAGAGTTCCGCAAAGGTATGTCCAGGCGCCAGTCGAGTGTGCAAAATATCATTAAACAGCAGTTTTGACTTTATATATAAGTTATACCGTGACCGTGGATAGTGCATCACTGGTTAAAATAATTAATTTACTGATACTTCGACGATTTAAACTTTAACTTTTAATGTTTCCTTGCACCATTACATTTATGAATTGGTGTAAGGACATTTAGTTTGTGGTGCAAATTTAGATGAAGGCCCGGGTTTGGGGTACCAAACAGGGTTGTTAACAGGGTTTTGAAAACTAATGTTTTGAAAACATATATTGGACTTAATATGCCTGATCAGAAGGATACTTGATATACTAGAAAATCACTCGGATATACCGGTAGTAGAAACACGCCGGGTTTGGGTAACTAACTATTGGGGTACAAACAGGATCAGGCTCAAGACCTCAGAACGCATACTTAGATTATGTAGACCAGTGCCCTTGGAGTGCATAAATTAACAAGATGATCAGTATTTTACAATACTCCTTAACAAGTCGAAACTAGAATGATTTTATTTTTGATACGAATTTAAATAATTCGAATTGTATATGATGTCACAGGCTTATTACGAAATGTGTTAAATTTGGTATTTTGTGATACTTTTTGCGTTTTTTAATATTTTGTTTTGTAATAAAATGCGCATGTTGTAATAAATTACCTCATGTATTTTCTGTACAATATACAGATTTATTACAAAATGCGTCGGGACGATTACACAAGGCGTCAAAATGATCACAGACTATTATTACAAAATACTGCAGTACAAGAGCGGAATCTGATGTTTTCTCTTTTGAACTTTAATGGCAATGTTCGTCAAACGTGGTCCCACCGCCACCATCTCGCCCCTTTAAGATACAGAACGCGGCGTTGGGACAAGGGCTTACTGTGTAGAAATGTTTTATTTTACATTTTCAGCAAAACGAGAAATTGTGCCTAAACTATGCGAAAAATATGCAGAGGAATTCCCTGATCTGAAAGAGGCCTACATTAAAAAGAGTTATGCAGCGTTGGCGGCTTTCTCTGCGGAAATACCAGATGAAGCCATGATTCGCTCCGCAATTAGTCTGTGTGAAGATCTCCTGACAAAGTTCGAGGAAGACTTAAAAAAAATCGTCGAAGACAACCAAGGTACAATTATTGTTTTTTAATTTTTTCCGGGAATTATCGTATCCTGAAACTCCATAGGTTAGAGTAGTTGATGTATAATAAAAATACACGATGCGACTGTTATATTATATTTGTGTTAATGCAACCTAATATTCGCGTACCATGCACTTGTTTCACATTGTCCTATAATTCGACGAAGCGATTCCGTGAAATCAAAATGACGTAATAATGTGAACATTGTTGTTCAAATCGGCAATGTGCTTAGTTTTGTAGTCGTTCTATAATAGAATATAGTAAAAACTATGACGCCTCGAGAACATTATTTTTAGTGATGTATGACTGCAGATCAGCAAAAGACTGTGACCTACATGCCTTCCTACCACCCAATTACGTCATACCATGGTCGTACTAGCGCTTTCTACGTCACTGGCAATGTGGCCGCGACTTCACACGTATAATTTGAATCTTATTTGAATATTTATTACAGGTAAACCTCGATGGCTTTGTGGCAATAACATAACCATAGCTGACGTATACTGGGGAGAAACGCTATATCGGTTGGAAGAATTGGGATACGATGAGCGGTTCTGGAATGAAGGAAGGCGCCCTCATATCCAGTCATATTATGATTATGTTAAACATACTGATTGTTTCAGGGCATGTCATACGTAACTTTGCAACGAGAAAAAAAAAACATCCATGCATTCATTTATTTATTTTTGAAATCGTTAAAGCGGGGGAGTCGTCATCTACGCATGCGTCAGGTGGCTATAGCGTGTCATTGTTTACAAACAAGTGTCTACCCATGAGCCTTTGCGTTCTTAGCGTGCGTTGTTACCCTCCCGCTTTAATGTTCACTTCCTAATGGAAGCTGGGCCATTCACAATGCATGCTGGTACTACATTTCCCCATGTCCATTGCGGAGAGGGATAAGAAACTATGACACATAACAATATAATCAGTATGTGTGCTGTACCATGTCATGGTGAAACAAAAGAATCCTCCGTCGCGAACTTTTTTCCACAGTGGCTAAACTTGAATAAAGCAATCTTCATCTCTCTATTCTGAAATATGTTCATGTTATGGAACCCTAATTTCTCACTTTTCATTTTAAACTTGTCTCCGTGAATGTACACGTTATGTACTTTTGAATCGATAAAAAAATATGTGAACGGTGGGCAAACAGCAGATTACAATTTATTTTACAACAACTTTTGAAATGTATATTTTTGTCAAAATGACCCGATTAGTGTGACTACAAGAACATTCTCAATAAACAATGTGTTAGAATGTGTGGTTGTTTATGTACTTAATTAATTATGCAAAAGAACATAGTACAATGGAAATTCTGTAGACGCATACTAGTACTCCTCTTTTCTGGGGTCTGTGATAGGAGATGATATAAGTACTTGGCACAAGTACTATGCTTTGAATATGACACGCCCTCTACGGCGGAAAGTTTTAAATGGGTATAAGCTCAGACTACTTTAATTTATTATAGACTTCCCCTCCCCGCCCCTCTTACCTCCCTCCCCGTGCCGCCGCCACTGTAGTCTGAGGTGTAAGGGACACCTTATTTTTCAGAATATATTAGAATATATATGGCAAAGGACTACACACGGTTACTCTTTTTTTAGTAACCGTGGACTACACAACCTAACACAGTTGACGCTTCAAACGACAATAATCGCCCTACGACGTCATCTTGACGTCACAAACACACTTCGACCTGAACGGGCGTATTGTGATTTATCTCATGGTTTTATAAATTGTCGTATTGCGAATAATTATCTTGATAGTCGAATTTCATCAAAAGCTCGTTATTTGTTAATTCCAATCAAAGTCCTCTGAACGTAGTTTCATTGCGTGAATTGTTTCGATAGTTTATTATGGTGTACAAACTGTTATCGATCATTCTACGCTTTTTTACGCTTGTGTGTAATAGTGTTGATATACAGACTGTATTTTTCGTTTAGTTTAAAAAAAAACACGAGATTTTTACAGTTGTCAATAAAAATGACAATGTATACAAATCTGAATTTCAATGTTCTACGTCTGCGAGCATGTAAATGCAAGATGAAGAAAAGTAGGATTGAATAAAATCTGATGAATTCGCGATCGTAGCTGAAGGTTTGAAATGGTAATAAAGTTAGACCACGTGGTAATTCTTATAAGCAATTGCGGACTTCATTGGAACACACCATGATTCCACTTATCTCGCGAGAATCAACTACTCATTGCAACAGTAGTAGTAATCGTGTGCTTGCAAGAACACGGAAAAGCTTTACGTATAAGGGATTGTCATCCCGATTGTCGGGAGCCTACCAAAGTCGCGCAATGTCAAAAATAGACGAATCTCGTTATCGGAGACGGGCGAACATTTTCTCCAAGCCCGGTCTCCAAGTTGCATTCGTGGCTTCTGGAGGGTACTATACGGGGGGTCGGTGTATTCACGGTAAATAAAAAGAATGACAAGACAAATCAATGAAAAACAGAACTATTAAGAGAGCAGTGGCAACTAGGGAACTGATAACTCTTGAAGAACAACGAACGTAAAATAAATTATACTATTAAACTATATCAAATTATACATTACTCTGATTGACGAAACGACACGTCACTGGGTTACAAGTTACCTGCATACAGGTTTTAGTCAGTGACGTATCATTTTGTTTATTATAGTATTGTATATCTTTGTTTAATATAATTTATTTATTTATAGTTAACAATAATAGCTTAAGGTAGAAGCCTAGTCATAAATTTTGACAAAATTAGTCATAAATCGCATGACAATCATGTGAAATCATGAAGTTAATGTCTCATGGTACAATTAAATAGCATTATTTTGTGCGTTACAGTTAAGCTTTTTGAGAAACATGTCCTAACATTTTTTTGAAAATTGCTATTTTTAGAACAATTTCATAAAACACAATGTTAAAGAAAAATTGCATTATTTGACACTTTTTAAAACCTAGATTTTTAAATAATTCAGAACAACAAAAAGTACCACGTCATTAACAATATATGATTTTTTCAGCCTATGTCACCAGGCTAGATTTTGCGATATTGCATAATAGTGTTATAATAGTGTCAAAATGGCGACTTTCCACTGAAATACAACCATCATTTTCTCGAAAAAAAGGCTGGTGACCCCCAACTTTTTTAGGTCAATATCCTTGTATTGCCTTGGAGTACAGTTTATTACAAAATGAATAAATTCTGGGTTTTCACACTATATTTTAAACACAATTACGTATAACATATAATGATTTCATTTCTCTAACTTGTCAAGTAAATAAACTTTTGAGTGTCATGAATATATTACCGATTCTAGAAAGATAAGAGCTATGAGTAACGCCTAAAAAACAGTATGTTTCTGCCCAGCGTCTTTTTTACTCTTACTCATAGCGCCCTCTGTCGGTGAAAATTACGACAAATGGAATGTTTGCGACATTTGCCGTCAAATTTGAATCACGCTTAGGCTTTAAAAGTAAAAATTAATTCCTTGAGGTGTAATTTTTCAGAGTTATTAAAATTACAAAAAAAACAACAACACTGATAGCTCAAAGGACTAATATACCAAAATTCGATGCCCTTTCATAATCCCGCGTGAAATCGCGTTACTTCACACAGCGTTCCAGAACGCGCATTCATTGTTGTAGTAACATAGCGGACTACGCTTCTTCATTCCAGGACAACGTACTGTAGTGACAAGACGTACATCTTCGCTCTCTGCAATTTTTTCGCATTTCATCTCACCAAAGGTAAAGATACAATCATTTATATTTATCTCTCAACTCGATTATTACAATATATGCAAGTACGGTGTTTTTTTTTTTTCAAGATATTCACATTTCAGCATATTTCATTATACACTCGTTTGATTTTTCTTGAAATTCCTTTAGCGCCAACAAGCAAAATGTCGTACACTGGCTGGTCACTGCAAGATCACATTGATGAACTTAGGAACAAGCTCGCCCTCAAAGGTAAGTTTTTTAATTTTAGTCAGCACACATTCACTCATCGTCTTGTCTGGAGTCGACTCGGTTGATTTGCTTTCGGCAAATTTTAACGTCTGCAGTTTTAACCGATACTATGTATCCAATGTTTATGATTTTGAAAGGGGAATAGAAAAAGAGGGACTGGCATGACATACATAGTGATATGAATTTATTTTCAAGAGTTTTCGCGGCACACGTCGTAAGTTTACGTACTGAAATGATTGCATGGTTTGTCGACGAGCTGGCGCGCGTTCTATTTTCATACACGCGTTCTCTGTGGCGTCTGTGACGTCACCGATGAATGTTATTCCAACGCGCAGTCAGTGTCGAACAGTCACATCACGCTATGCATTGCGCCATCTACAGGTGTATATAACTCTGGCAGACGGTCACTACCATAACAATGAGTTTATTTTAATATTTTTTTTCAGAACGTGATCACAGGGCGTACTTCGAATGTTCTCAAATAGCCAAGAAACAAAACGAAGACTGCATTATTCACCTAAGAAAACAATGTAAAGAGAAGCGTGTCGAACTGTCGAATAGTATTAATGTAATTTATTTATTTATTTATTTATTTATTTATTTATTTATTTATTTATTTATTTATTGTACATGGTTATTAACAAAGCGTAAACAACTGTATTGTTTCTGTTCTCAGGAAGACGAGAAGGTCATTGGAAATACATTAACTAATCGTCGTCGAGAACGCCTCTCCCTGCGAAGATCCAGCGCTCCAGTAAGCATATATATTGTAATCTCGCTTTGAACCAAAATATGCATTCACTGCACCACAGTTAAGTTATACATATTACTCTACTTTTCTCGTAGCAAGCGATTTCAATAATGGATCAGAAGATGTGCGAGAAAGCCAAACTGTTGAACGAACTCAAACATAAACGTGAGAAGACCGAAGCTGAGATAACAAACCTCAAAGTACTGTACTCGCGTAATGAGAAACTGGAGAGCGATGGCGCTGTGACTGAAGAAAAAGTATACCAACAGGTGGGACGACGAAAATGCCCTTTCGGATTCAGCCAATTTGTGAACTTGGTGTTATTCTCGGATAATGTCATACAATGCGTGTTTACTAATTATTCTTTTATTTTCACCACAGCAAATTCGAACATTGGAGAACAGCATAGACAAGGCCAAAATCAAGATTGACACAGCCGTGAAAGTCCAGGTCAACTATAAACATGTCATGAAATCTTTAGAAAAGGTAGGCCTGGTGCATTCTTCTGATAGGGAAAACTATCAATGGCAATCTGATCTTATACACTTTACTTCTTCTCCCTGATCACGAAATCCCCATCAGTTTACAGAGATCTTGTGATGTTTTATGCCAGGATTTTTTGAGCAGACCAGAAAAACAAAGTGATACCAAAAATAATGAAAAGCAGAAGCAACTAACAAAATAACGCCACAACTATTATATTATAATCAGATTCGTGTCAATTGATGCGTGATACTAACTCAGGTTTTCACTTGCCCCCCCCCCCCCCCACTACAGGAGAGTTTAGCATTTCCGGATCATCTGAAAAAATTAGAGTCTGCAATTGTGGAGCAAAAAATGGAACTAGCTGAGATGAAAGAAATCCACAGGGACGCTCTTGCTGGAAAAGAAACTATCAAGTCTAAACTGGCCAAATTCGAGCAGGAAATCTTTGGAGCCAAGAGAACACGTGACAAGGCCCTGAATACAATGAAGAAACAGGCCGAAAAACAAAAGGACATCGCGGAAAAGGCTGAGAAGCGAGTCGTGCGTGCCACATTGCAAACTATGGATGACACAAATGGTAAGTCTTTTGTTGCTCTAGCATCATCAGCTTCCTTAGTTGTCTATACTTTCATAGTATATGTGTTTCTTAATGATTTGTCTTGTCATTCTGTTTATTTAAAAACACAGATCCTCGCATGCAGTCCAGAATTGACAAAGACAACTTGGTGAAAATCTTTGAATATGAGGACTCCGTACGATCAATCATGGATGCTATATCCATCTCCGATGTTGAGGTTTGTGTTCGTGCCTATATTTTGATAATTTCCAATTCACTAAAAAAATTATTATTTTAAATACAACCATCTTCTCAGACAAATAAAAATGATAAGTGTATGATTTGTATTGCAGGACATATTACATCGTGTAGTGGACCAACAGAATACAAGCACACATCTACAGGAACAGACGGAATTCTTAGCGAAACAACTCGTTCTTCTGAAAACACGAAAAGCAAATATTCTAAAAGAATTTGAGAGTATGAAATATTCAGGAGAGCGGAAAACAGTAAAGTGAGTAAAAATAACATTCATCAAAAATGTGTAAACTCTAGATTTTTAGAAGAGTCAATGTTTGGTTGTTTTTACTTGGGAACATCAACATAATTTATCTATAAATCATTGTTCATTCACATTTTAGTAGTCAGACTCTTGTCAATAAAATGGAGAATCGTTTAGTGGACGAAATGAAGAGATCCCAAGTAGTGAGTGAAGACTTGACAAGAAAAGAGCAAGTCATGGTGAAAACCTGCACAGGTGTTGAATCTCTTTATCACAAACTACTATCCGTTAAACTTCCACCAGTAAGTATGTTCCCATCATAAAACAGTACAAGTATTCTTCGACTTTGTGTGACGCTTCAGTGTGCGAAGTTGCCTAGGAAACTGAGTATTAATGTATGTTTATGATTATTTTAGCCCCAAAGGAGTTACGCTGTGGATGGTGATGCCTTGGATCAACTAGGTCTCATTGAGAAGAAGCTGCAGATCTTGTTGGATTTATTGAAGCTAAAAGATAGCAACATCGTAAGGAAAATCCTTGCCGGTATAGAGGTACAGTCGATTATATACTCACTCTTTGTCTACATAATATTGTTGTTATTCTAAACTGTGAAGCGATCCATCACACGGTACTAAAATTGTACCCTTTCTTTCATTCAGTTCCAAGAATACATGGAAAACATTCTACCAGCAGAAAATGTTAGGATTCAAATTCAGGAAGAAGAAACCTACGTAACAAGTAAGTTGATATCGGAGTACACTATCAACATGTTTTAAAGCGGGAGGGTCGTCAACAGCGCACTCATGGGAATTGAGTGCCAAGCGACGATAACACACGCTAAAAACACAATGGCTCATGGGTAGACGCTTGTTTATAAACAATGACACGCTATGGTCATCTGACGCATGCGCAGGTGACGATTCCTCCGCTTCAATACAGGCACATGCAAACATCAAATAATTGTGTTGGACGTTTAGGCTGTACACTTATATGTTAATTATCGTTTTTTTTTTAGGTGGATTGGACTATGACAGCCAGGATAACGAAGACACGCTTACACGCGAGGACATCAAGAATCGTGGTCAGAAAATCTTGGAGAAGAAAACACGCAAGCGAGGACGCAAGAGGAAAAACTAAACAATCTCCCTCAACCTTTTCTGCAATTTTATATGTGATATATGAGCAATGATCATAAATGTAATAATACATAAAAAAAACTAATAAATATTCACTGTTTAAACTTATATAAATCAGTCTACCTCTTGTTAATGGATACACGAGTTCTTGGTGTTTGGTGTTATTTGTATGTTCTATTCATTCACTCAATATCTTAATCACCTGATAGCACTCCCAATGAGCACCAGCCCATAACCCTTATACGACTCACAGTGCCGGACTTGAAACCTGTGCGCCAGATTCAAACTTGTATTTCTCACCCAAAGAAAAAATTAAAGTACTAGTATATAAATCACAGTATGTGCACACCATTTTTTATGTACCATATATATATTTATTTTCTAAAGAACCAATTAAATAAGAAACATTTAATCAGGGTGCAATATTTTTTTCCAAACCGAATACACAATTGAGAAAGTTATTAGATAATTTCATTAAATGTATTTGGCATCGAGAAATTAATATTGCTCACACTAAATTACTAAAAATAAAAAAAAAGCTGTATCGTACAGCGCTTACTTGTAAATATGCCACATGTAATGATTCTGTGGTGCCTAGGCCACGTAATATTTATCTCAACAGTGCCTAGGCCACCTAACTACTACCCATGATGCATGCACAACCTATAGCCCCCGGGCCACCTTACTACTATTTTCATAGCACCTCTGGACTACCTACTGACCGTATTCTTAACCCCTGGCCAACCTCATGGTATCATAATATCTATGGGCTTAACAACTAGCTTCATAACGACTGGGCCACCTAATTAATACCCCATATAATGTCTGGGCCACTTAACAACTAGCTCCATAACGTCTGGGCCACCTAACTAATACCCCATATAATGTCTGGGCCACTTAACAACTAGCTCCATAACGTCTGGGCCACCTAATTAATACCCCATATAATGTCTGGGCCATTTAACAACTAGCTCCATAACGACTGGGTCACCTAATTAATACCCTATATAATGTCTGGGCCATTTAACAACTAGTTTCATAACGACTGGGCCACCTAATTAATACCCCATCACTGCCCCATATAACGTCTGGGCCACTTAACAACTAGCTTCATAACGACTGGGCCACCTAATTAATACCCCATATAACGTCTGGGCCATTTAACAACTAGCTTCATAACGACTGGGCCACCTAATTAATACCCCATATAAAATCTGGGCTACTTAACAACTAGCTTCATAACGACTTGGCCACCTAATTAATACCCCATATAATGTATGGGCCACTTAACAACTAGCTTCATAACGACTGGGCCACCTAATTAATACCCCATATAACGTCTGGGCCACTTAACAACTAGCTTCATAACGACTGGGCCACCTAATTAATACCTCCATATAACGTCTGGGCTACTTAACAACGAGCTTCATAACGTCTGTTGTCACTTAGCCTTTTCATCACAAATATTCCCATTTATAGTCTGCACTTTCCTTCAGAAGATTGGGACAAAAATAGCTAATTTTTTTTTGAGTAAAAACTGAAAATTGACTCACATATTGTCGGTCGGCTCCAAAATAACAGTTCATTTCCAGAAATATTGCAGAATATAAGAAAAAAGTGCAGAAAACTTTGGGCAGAAAAAACTGGTGGTGAAAAGAGCCACCTGACTACTACCCTATAACATCTGGGCCATCTAACCGTTAACTCTATCACGTACAACCATATAAACTTTGTGTCACCTAACTACTGCCTCGATAACGCCTGGACGATCTAACAACAACTTTAACGCCTGCTCAGGCTGGACGTCCTGACAACATATACCTACCGACTATGAGTATGCACGTAATTGATACCAAAGATGTGATGTCACTCCTCGGGCATGAAAACAACAGAAGGTGTGAGTGGTGGCGTGGCAGACTTTGAACGAAAATAATCTTCTTTGTGAAAGTTCTTCTTGAAATGCTTCCTGAGCGTGACATGGTAAAACTACAAAATTAATGAAATAACTGCGATATACACTCGACGAATTCTCTGCCCATAATGAAATTGGGATTGTCGAGTGCGTGACAACGATAACTGGGCAATGATCTTCGTCTTGTATACGATGTCCCCGAGCCAGTTCGCGTTTTAACTATATTCAATGACGTCAGCACATATATTGTTCGTGCGTTCGTACCAGTGAATATTTACTGCAAAAACTTCGTCTGTCAAGTCACGTGATTATCACATCACGTCAATAATTAATCCATCACAATTGTTGCAGCGACCATGTTGCTATAGTTACAAGTAAAGTGACCCAAAAATTGGCAAAACCAATGTGCGTTGAACCTGTAACGAAATATTGAACTGGAGTTAGGTGATGATCATTAGAAACTCGGGTGGATTTCAACAAAAATTCATAATTTTGTTTTACAAATTCTACAGGAAAAAATATATTTATAAAAAAAAAAAACTCGTGCCTAAAATGTACTGATACAAAAAATCGCACACACGGTTGAAAGAAAATAACAAACAAACATTTACAACAACATTATCCAGAGGGAAAAAAACTGTCCCAAAACCAAGTGAAGGAAAAGAATAATTTGCACAAAAGTTCTACCTTTCCCCCAACCCACATGGTGTGTAATGGTCAAGCTCTTAAGTTTTTTTTAATCGAGAAATGCATTTGATCAGAATTTACCATTTTTATTTGAATAATCCATGTGTAAGAATCATGAGACCCATATTAAACACGAAGTGGAACGAGGACTGTTAGAAGTTAAAAGGCAGTTAGTGAAGGGAAGTTTTAATGTAGTATTTACGTATGGGGATAATTATATATTTCCAAATAATTATTTGGAAAAAAATGGCAACGCCATATTGCAAATGTGCTACAAAAACATGCAAAGTCAGAGTTGCAACCGCCTATTAACAATTTATAATACAAACAGTTATTTACTATGACCGCGTTGAATTATGGTCAATGCATATATGGGTCATGATGGCAAAACTTCCAGCGCTTCAGGCCGTTTCTCTTGGTTATGGAAGATACTAGTAGTCAAAGCGGGGGAGTCGTCACCTAAGCATGCGTCAGGTGGCCATAGCGTGTCATTGTTTACAAACAAGCGTCTACCCATGAGCCTTTGCGTTCTTAGCATGTGTTGTTACCATCGTTTGGGACTGAATTCCCACGCGTGCGCAGATGACGACCCTCCCGCTTTAAGTGAATAATGAATACATGCAACTCACAATAAATGTTATGGTTACATATTAGTAAAAGAACATATGGGTCGTATCACTTTCAAACAACATTATAGAAATTTAAAAAATGTAAACGGCACAATACCCCTTTCTTCCTGACGTAACTAATCGCCCGCTGCACCCGCATCAGTTGAGGCTGTCGTTGGGGGCTTCGTGTCGCTATTCTAGTTTCAGCTAACTTTGTTTCAAGTTATTCCACCAGTTCAGTAATTAAGTTTATCGATTACAACTTTGACTGGCGTAATTTATCATTTTTTTAAAAAAAATGAGTAACAAAGGTTGAAAATTATCTACCTGCACGACTTGAGTCTACCGTCACAACACGTGGCGATTCATTCGTGATTAACGTAGTGTCGCTGTCATACCCGACACGTGTTGGCGGGCTGCCATCTTTTTCAGTTTGTGCTCCAGGCTGAGTATTTTCACCCGAAGAGGGCGCCATGTTTCCCGCATCGATTGTTTGCTGCCTGGGTGTAGTAGTGTGGGCGTTTTCGTGCGTCGCTAAAGGCGGTAAACCGTGTAAAGGAGGAGGTTCACCGCCGAAACTCGGGAAAAGAAATTCCATGTGTTCCTCGTCATTTGTCACCAATATTGTCTGTGATAAGCCTGGATTTATGACAAAACGTTAGGATGTTATAATGCAAAATTATCATGTCGTGTCCAGCCTGAGGTGATTTGAGCCTAAATTCTGAGGCGGTGTTGTAAACGACAAGATAGGCCAAGTATATGCAATTGGAGTGGGTGTACAATTATAAACCACGATTTTACTCCGAAATGTTATCCACTAAAAAAGTAATAATCAAAGCGCAAAATAATCATACTATAGACGTGTTTCGGAGTTCATCAGTGTGCTCGCGACAAAACTTGAAGCCTGAGTAGTTGGGTGGATTATATAATCTGTTTTCTTCAGTTTTAACAAGTTGAATAGGAATATTGGTATGTTGTTCCCCGGAGATATATATACGTATAGGGACCAATGTGTTATAAATTACAGTTTTTTTTTCAATTTCGTGGTATGTATTACACTGAACCAGCCGTAGCATTTTTTGTCATATTAATTTGTTTGAGATTTAGTCCAACGTGGAAAGAAATGACAGTTTAATAAAACAATAATATTGACAATCTGAGTGTGTGTATATCAACCAACAAATCTCGACTTTCAAAAGTAACTTGGACGCCGGTAATACAAAAGCAATATAAACTGATCCAAAATGACGGCTGGTATAATAAAGTGCCTGAAAAATTGCATAATCCTGCTCATCGTAAGCGAATCAACGTCGATCGACCCCTCAGCACTTACAACCACTTTCGCGCGAAATTCTTCTTAATTTGCATAAATGCGAAATTATTTGATGCCTGTCACGTGCATACACATTTCCGAATAACAACTGGGAATCAGTAATGCAATGTAATGTAATGCAATATAATGTAGTGTAATGTAATGTAATGTAACGTAATGTAACGTAATGTAATGTAATGTAATATGCGATCTAGTGGTGTAATGTATTACTATGTAATACGATGTAATGCAATGCCAAGAACAACTGATAGTCCCCGTTTTATCAATAATGGCGTCTCTTAATGAGTCCCTGACATATGTCCCTATTAGCAAAAAAAATTACCCTACCTAAACATAAATATGTAAAAACATCCCTCTAAAATATTCTTTAAAATATGCTGTAATGGCGTAGTCTATCTACATATACTAACTTATTAAATTTTGGGTAAATTAAAATATTAATACATTAATACATTGGCTGT